ATGGGGTACGCGCCCCCGATGGGGAGGACTGGGGTGGCTCTGTGGGCTTCTCGGGGTGGAAGCTCTCCTGCAGCCCCCCGATTGGCCCCTCCCTCCGGATGGCAGCCTGTAGCATGTGCAGCTGGGGTGATGGCCGAGTGCTGTGATGTTCCTCGTGTGGGCACTCCAAGCCAGGACTGCTTTGCAAGCGGGGAACCCTGAGAACTGTCTGTCTGGGGTGGGGGTCGGGTCCCTTTAAGCGCCTGTGCATTTTAGGTTAAGGGGATATGTGTATTTTTTATTTGTATTGCTAGTCAGAAGTCTGGGTCTCAGTAGCTATGTATAGTATCTGTGTGCATGCATGCTCATTCGCTCACAGAGCCCCACAGAGTGTACAACCTGTGCACCATAATATTCTCGCTGAGAGTTTCTCTGGCTTTGCCATTGACTAGTCAATGCTGTAGGATTGGGGACCACGTTTGGTTGGGTTTTTCTAATAAACATCTGGGGGTAGGGTTGCCACGTGTCCTGTATTCACCTGGACAGTCCGGTATTTTCGCCTCCTGTCCAGTAAAAAAATTCAGAGAATAACAGACACCTAAAATGTCCGGTATTTTCTGATTTTTTTCCCAGCCAGGAAGTGAAAATGCCAGGCACCTGGCAATCCTGCAAACTCCCTACAAACACTCAGGGCCCTTCCCCCGAGGCCCCCAACACCCCCAGTTCCCCGGCTGACCTGGTTCCGCAAGGCTGCTGGCACAAAATGGCTGCTGACCTAGGGGAAGCACCTGGGTCTTAGTGCTCAACCACTCACCTGTTCCTATCCCTGCACTCACTCTTAAAGGGGACATGCTGTTTTATTTAAAAAAAATTTTTTTTTTGCTTAAGTCTTGGGAGTCCTTTTTTTGTTGTTGTTCAACAACTTTGGTCTCCCCCTCCCCTTTTTTTTTCTCAACAGAATTTTTTCCCCAGTGTTTTTTTTTTGGGGGGCGGGGGGGGATGTTCAGTATTTTTGGTTCAACCATCTGGCAACACTAGCCCTGCACCTGGGGCACTTGGAGGGGTTATCCCAGGCCCCACACTCCACTCGGGATGATCCTGTTCATCAGGCTATGGCACAACCATTTTAGGATGTCTGTCTGCTTTAGTTTTAATGTCCTTGGTTTGTAAGACTCAGGAAGCATAAAGATCAGGATCAGGTCCACCCTGTGCAACTATTCATGGTGGGGGGAGGGGGAGACTTTATTTATGGGTCAGAGTTTCAAAGAAGCTGTGATGATACCTGCAGTTTCCCAATGAAGACTTTGGGATATCTGAAGAGACTATTCCTAGAAAATCCAGCTCAAATGTTTTACTGAGACTAGTTTTATACTAGAACAGGACTTTGAGAGTTTGGTCAGTGCCATGTGGCGCACACGCAATACACACATGATCATAGAAAATGTATCTGTCACATCTCATTGTACTAATATAAGAAGTCTTGAATAACTTGTGATAGATCAAAGGCATATAAAATTGTCCTCTTATTTTTAGCATATGCAGAAACCTACATTTAAACGTGAAAACAGAGGGTTTTCTCTTGTAAGTTGCTAGCTGACTTCAGAGAATTTGATGTACAGAACCTGAGTAGCTGCTAGACAATACAATGTTTAGCATGTGCAAATGTGGGATTTTGCATGGACAAACAAATGTACCTGTAAAACTACAGATGTAATTTTCAGTAATTGCAAATTTGGATTGTTATTATTAATGATAAATTAATGTTATGATACTGTTACGTTAAAATACTAAGGTTTCATTGTAGCTATGGAAATGAAAATCTAGACATTAACTCACAAAGGGGAGAAGCCCAGTGTTTCCTTGACAACTGATGAGAGCACAACTGCGTGAAACCCAGGAAGATTCACTTTTACAGTCATATTTATTGAAACATAACCCCAGTGCAAGAACAACTTTCACTGACTTGCAAGATACCATATTTAAGGATAAACAGGTAAAAATGCTCTACCTGCAAATTATCAAGTGTTTTTTTCACATGATCACTTAGATTTTCTAACTCTAACATTGTGCAGTGCTGTTCTGTACCATTGATTGTGTTTCACAGGTCATCTTCGGGGAAAAAAAGTAACGTTTAAAATATAGCTAACACTTTAATATTAAGATTTGTCACAAATTATTTTTAGACTATTTGGTTTTCTGATACTATCTAATAGACAACATTTGTCTTTGTTCTGAAGGCATTAATGTGTAAAAGGATACCTGAGGTGCTCAATGATTTCAATGCCTTGCCACTTTTGGAATTTTATGGAGGGGGAATCAGTGGTAATTTGGAGAGAATCATCAGTGTGAGAAGAAAGGAAGAGCAGAACCTGGTTGAATAAATCACTACTCTTCTGATTTGTTTTATTAATTGGTAGTCTTCCCTACCAAAATATTGTACAAAATTGATCAAATATATCCTAACACTATACAAATAAACTGGTCAAAAATAGACACTTAGTTGCATTGTTTAAATGATTCTAGATCTACAAAAGAAACATTAATATATACTTATAGTCTCTTTCTGACAAGCAATGATTCTACATATGTTTTCTATATTCAGCTTATTGCTGCCTATATGGGAATAATTTATCCAGAGAGTGTTTATTGCTGCTGCTTTATCAGAATAAAAAAAGTAAATGAGCTTTGATTCCCTTTCCTGCCTCCAGAATGACCTTCCATGGCACCGTTTTGCAGAGAGCCTGCAGAACAAACTGAGCTGAAGGAAACCATAACTGACGTGGAAATTTTCTGCTCCTTGGTTCCCTACTGTGCACAGGTTGTCTGGCTGTATATAATATTCTGCTAGAATTTAATCCAGTGTATTTTACTCAATCAGTCTCTCTCTCATTTTATATTCCACTCCCAGAGTAGAAGCATGCTGTTGTGACCTCATTACCAGACACTCAAGGAGTAGTTGGCAGTTGTAACATATGGTAACCTTAAAAATCATAGTGGCGGGAATGGAAAGAGGGGTGTTCTTTAGAGGTTTATAATGTACCAAGGGAGAACAGCTGTGGTCTAAGGGCTTAATTTAAGGGCCAGGAATGAGAGGCCTGTGTTTTATTCCTGATTCTGCTGTGTGACTGTGGATAAAGCTGTCTTGGCCAAATTACGGTTGTGCAACAAGGAGAGAAAACAAAGAGAATCTCTTCTATGCCAAAATATTCCCACACAGAAGACAACTATCGTTTGGCAGGATGAGATTTGACAGCGGGAGGGAGGTTAGTTAGTACCACAACAATATGCATCATTCAAGAGAAAGTTGTTCAGGGAGTTAGGGGTGTAGCTAGGGCCTTACACATTGACCAACTTTAAGGCTGTACTGTGGGAACTACAGTACACATGCCTTCCTATGGGTATCACAGGGGCCCTCACTGACAATATTAGACTACTACAAATATGCCTGCTCCTAACTTGAATAAGCATAATGTCGCCAAGGGCCTCCGCTTGAGCACTGCACTTTCCTAGTGTGATTCAGTGATTAAGCTATGATTTTGGCATGGCAATTTTTAATACATTTGATGACAGAGGAATAGTCATGGAAAGCTCAGCAAATGATGTACTTTTCGCTACATCAGTATACACATACTATAGTGAGGGTTCTGAAAGGTGAGACCTGGCAGGGTGTTGGTGTTGGAAAGCAAGATTGCTCCACAGCTGCAGCTCCTGTCCCATTGGACTGGCATGGGATGAACTTCCCCCCTCCAGGCACTGTAACCATGATGCATAGGGTTGCAGCACCACTTAAGTGTGGCCCATCCATTCATCTGGGTAAACAAGTGACTCTTAAGTGACACTGACTCTGTATCCTGTCACACCACCACTTCATTTGGAGGCCTAATCAAATGTATTTTATATCCATTACCAAGATTTCACAGACTATTAAAAGTCACAATTTTCATGATAGAATCATATCTCTAATTGTAACAGAGCTTGTGTTCTCTCTGTGCTTCAGCTGCTTGTAAATCAGGCATAATGATAATGATTTTACCCATCTTTGTAAAGCACTTGGAGATTTACAAATCAAAAGTCCTATATAAAGGCAAATATTATTATCATGTAGTGTACAACTGGGGATTAGTATGCAGCATGTGGCATTATTAATTGAGTGCTAGATGCCTATCAGAACAGATGAAAAAATCCTTGCTAGAAGAGAGCTGACATATTTCACACGGGATAGAATGAGGACGGTAGTCGGTTAATATTGTGGGATGCAAACAAAGGAGTGGGGCAACATGAATTAGATCACAGAGTTATTCGTCAAACATTAGTTCACAGCATGACGGAACAATGTTTTACAACAAAATAGATGAATGAAGAAGTAGAAGACTTAATTGACACATTTCTTATATGCAGCGTTGTTGCAGCCATGTTGATCTCAGGATATTAGAGACAAGGTGGGTGAGGTAATTTTTTTTTGATCAATTTCTGTTAAGAGAGACATGGTTTCAAGCTACACTGCTTCCTGTCTGGAAAATGTACTCAAAGTGTCACAGCTCAATACAGCATGGAACAGATTGTTTACCATAAGTTAACATATATGTCAAGGGATCATATTTCTTATAGATACCACGAAAGAAGTTTCTTCAAAAAGTGTCATTCCTTGAGGCAAACCTGGGTCATATTTCTGAGGGCAGCAAATCAGACTGTTGGGGAAGTACACCAGTTATCTTTAAATCCTAAATTGCCTCTGTGTCTGTGGCAGTATGGATCTAGCCATTAAACTGCAAGAGGAGAAGTCTAGTGTTTCCCTGACAACTAAGAAAAAAACACTGCATGAAAGCAAAGTGTAAAAGTTAAAAATGTAGCTCAGCTGTCTGGTGAGAGGTGGAAACTATAGATTGGCAGACTTAGGGTGGCTTTCATCAAAAAGTTTGTGTCTTTAGGAGAGGAGAGACTATAAATCCTTGGTTCTTGCATATGGGACACAGCAAGCAGTAAATGCACTTTTCTATGCAAGGTCCAGTAAAACCTTGCCCTTTAATAAGTTTCAGTTATATATTTTAATGTTAAAAAAACATACCAAAAAAACCCAACTAAAATTAGATTAAATTAAAACCCTGGCTGCAACACTGTGATTTTTAAAATTCTGAATCTGGACTTTTTAGTTTGGGTCCACCTCTATTAAAAATGGTTGAAATAACAGTATTTTGTATGTATTGAATCTTTGTGGTTTTTTAACACAAGAAAAAAACTTCTCAGTAGTAGAAAAAGTGAAATAAGAATTTAGGGAAGGTTTTAAGATCAAGCTGCTAGGGCCAAGTGACAGCAGCTCAAAAAGCTGTAACACAATGTTCTGCTTTGAGCAGAAGGTTGGACTAGGTGACTTCCTTAGGTCTCTTCCAACCCTAATCCTCTATGATTCTATACACGTGCAACCCTTTGGTCTATAAATTACTCCAAGATGAAGGAATAAGGAAAGTAGTAGTGATTTACATACATGCTAAAAACAATCAGAAGGATTTAGTGACTGGGAGTTGTAAGACAGTTAGTTATCATGGCAGTGAACTTGTGCATATGAAAAGTAGGGATATGAAAGTTTGAAAGTGTAAATGGTTAACTGATAAGTCTGGGCTTATCAGTCAATGTTTTGGTTACACACAGATCCCACCCTACTCCTGGGGAGCCGACTACCACCCTGTGCTGCAGCCTCTGTATCAGAGGCAGCATCTTGGGGGTGGCAGCCGGCTTCCTAGAAGCAGGGCTGCAGATGGCAGCTGGTATGTGTTGGGAGTCAACTTAAAAACTGGCTCCTGGCGCACATTGGCTCCTGGGGAGCCAACTACCACTCTGCAGCTGCGGCCTCTGTATCAGGGTTTCTGTATCAAAGGCTGCAGTGTGGGGTAGCAGCTGGCTCCCCAGGAATGGGGCGGCAGGCAGGAGCCAGTTTGCACCAAGAGCTTGCTTAAAAGCTGGCTCCCAGCACACACTGGCTGCCACCCCCCACTGCAGATGCCAATAACCAGGTGACTGCTGAGATTTTCAGCAGTTACATGTTTACCCAATTACCCGATTTTGAACATTCCTAATGAAAACCATCTTAAAATACCATACAGCAGCTGAGTCACAACAGTTACAGTTTTGTAATCTTTTATTATGAAGAGGCCCCTGACACTATGAATCAGGTTCTGTTTTTAGGTCTTGTCTATTCAGGTAAAATATTCCAGAGTAGCATAGGGTGTGAATGTAAAGTGCTATAGTTATTCTAGAATAACTCCCTGTGTGGATACTCTTATTCTGGAAACATTATTATGCATTAGTTATTCCAGTAAATTTTTCCATGTAGACAAACCCTTACAAAGTTTTAAACCAGTGTACTTCCCTTGTCTTAAATGGAGTTTGACCTGATTTACCTAACACACCATATACTCTTGTGCATTATTACTTAATATTATTTATAAAATGCCATACGTGTAAATGGACACAGAAACACTTATGTTAAAAGAACATTATTAAGGTTTCATTGAGTTTAATGCCAGAAGATCAGGGGTTCTCAAACTTCATTACACCGTGACCCCCTTCTGACAAAGTTATTACATGACCCCGAAGATTGGGGAAAAGCCCCCTACCATGGATTGGGGAAGATGGGGCAGCAGCTCATGTCCACTACCCCAGTTTCAGCCCCAGGATGGAGTTTCAGCCCCAGGTTCTAGCAAGCCTAAAAGGGTATGCCTCCACTATGGCATAAAGGTTGAATTAAAATATGCAACTTCAGTTACGTAAATTGCGTAGCTGAAGTTGAAAGTACCTAAACTTGACTTTTGGCACAGTCCACACTGCAGGAAGTTGAAGGGAGAATGCTCTCCCTTTGATTTCCCTTACTCCTCATGGAAGCAGGACTCCCGGCATCGACCAGAGTGCCCTTCTCAGTTTGAATTAGATCCGCTAATTCGAACCCTGCAAGATTGATAGCGGTAGCTTCAATCTTCTCTGTAGTGTAGACATACCCACATTGGCCCTCTTACCCCATTACCGTTTGAGAACTGCTGGATTAGATCATCCAGTCTGACCTGTATATCACTGGTCATTACATTTGATCTAGATATCCTTGTACTGAGATTGTATGAGTAACTTGTATGTTTGACTAACAAAAGACATAAAGATAAGGAGACTCTACCACTTCTTTGAGCATTTGTGGACCCCATTCTTGGAGTCCATGGACGCCATGTACAGCCAGCGGCTAGAGGAGGCTGGGGGTGGCTCAGCCACCCCAAACAGGCAGGCATGGCTCTGGCTACACTCTGCTCCCAGGGGCTAGGGCCATGCTGCCCAGCTTGCTGGGTCAGAGGAGGCTGAGGGGGCACTGCCATGCACTCTTCCTCCAGCGCTCTGAGGTGTGGGGTGAATGTTCTCCTGGTGCTCTGGCTGGGGAAGGGCTGCGGGCAATAGCCAACCAGGGGCAGGCCCAGAAGGAGTGAGGCCCTGCGGGAGAAGAGACAGGGCTGGGGCTAGGGCTAGAGGTTCAAGAGCTGCCTATTACCCCATGTGCATGACTTTGGATCTTCTGATCTCCATAGTTGTTTGGAGCTGCACATCCTTGTCTTTATTGGCCTGAATGGCCTTAGTATCCAGGCTATTTTTTCCATCAAGATCTGAGGACAAATTTCCAGCAGGTGAGCATTGGAGAGTCTCAGGACATTATTCCCAGGGGACCATGAATAACTACCTACTGAGTGAAAGTGACTGCACAGAGCATCAGGAGAACACCATAGTAACGATGGTATTTTCATCTTCTTTGAATGAAGCAATGGTGACATCAGTCCCTTTTATGACTGATGACTTTAAAGCAGTTCAGGACTGCATCAAAAGAATGAAATGGATCCTTGAGATTCCTTTAGAACTCATTCTAGAGAGAGCATTCAAATTATTTTATATTCTCTACCTGGTCTTTCAAAGTCAAGTTGCTATGCCTATTAGCAAGGGAATTTTGAACCCAACCAAAGATTTATACACTCTCCCAGCTTTATCCTCTGCCACATAACAGTGTGCAGACCACAGAGATTCAAGTATTTTTATATTCATCCTTCACCGGGCACCTTAGTGAAGATGACAGCTGCTAATGAAAGGCTGAGAAAATATGAACCATCTACATCTACTCTGAAGGATATATAGTCACAAAGATTGCATCTTTCTGGCAGAAAAATCTATTCTTTGACCGATTTTTAGGCTAGGATAGCAAATTCACAATCTCTACCTAATTAGAACTACTTTCAGTGGGATAGAGTGGATAAGTTTATGGACAAGATCAACCTCAGCAAGTCATATTTACTTCCAGCCCAACTAGTGGAATTCATAGGGGCAATTCAACTCAAAGACAGTGAAAGCCTTCATGCCTCAAGAAGGGTATTGTGTCATCCTTTGAATTAGATCAGATTTTCAAGATCACCCATGAACATCAGAAAGAGGATGCCTCAAGTTGAGACATTTCAGGGATGTCTGAGGTCAGTCTATCAACCGAATAGGCAAAGTGTGAACTTGCCAGTATTTGTTTCAGAATTCTTACTTCCATCTTTTCATTAGGCGTGTATCAGAGAATGCCATTGCTATCCAAGTGCCTACCAACATGCTGATAACAGACGCTTGCAAGAAGTGTTGGGAGCCCCCATATACTCCGATGCCTCCAGCAAGCTGGTATGCCTAAAGGTCAGCACCTGTGCTTTGTGTCCTCTCTGAAGGCTCTGAAAAGTGTATTGCCAGCAGTTTGTTACCACACAGTTCTCTCTAAGCAAGCAAATTTATTCCTAAGATAAAAGCATTACATAATAAAAACAAAAGAAAATATAATAAAAGCAATAAATAGATTTAAATACTCTCTAACTATACCAGGAGTCACCCAGGATTTTTACCAGGGGACGGGGGGCATGGAGTGGCAGCAGGGGTCAGCCCCCCTCCTGCTCTCATGGTGGAGACTGGAGTCAGAGCAGCCTGGCAGCCTGCTCCATTCCGGTCTGCCCAGCCACCCTCTTCTAGCCCATTGCATTGTGCTTCTCTGCAGCAGCAGTACCATGCCATCCTTATTTCTGCGCTGCTGTTGGCAGCAGCTTTTCCTTCTCACCTGAGCTCCCAGCCACCAGCCACTGGCAGCATAGCACTGAAGGCAGTGGAAGTGCCAGCAGCAGAACAGAATTAAGGATAGCAGTTCCACAATCCCACTTACGATTACTTAGACACCTCAACTCCTTTTTGAGGATTACAGGATCTTTCGAAAAAGCCTTTCTTTCTTCTTTGAGTGATGTCTCCGTGGGTGCTCCACTACAGGTGTTGGGCTCGTCCTGGCGCCGCAAACCGGAAAGTTTTCGCCAGCAGTAGCCCCCTCCGGAGGACCGCGCATGCGCAAAGCGTCCCGCGGCTTTTGCGCCTTTTCTGCGTAGCGCGGTCCGATGCACCAGTTCCTCCTAACCGTCCACGGCCGCAGACGGACTTGGAACACGCTCCTCTCCTGAGGAGAAATTGTATCGTTTATTCGTTTGTTCTTTCCCAATTAACCCCTTCCTACATAGTGTTAGTCAGTTATTATCTTAGTTAGTTAGTTAGTTAGTAGTTAATAGTTTTAAAAAAAAAATTTTTTTCTCTTGCCGTTATAACCTCTGAGGGCCGCTCCGACCAGCTCCTCAAGTTCTTTCTTCCCCCGGAGACCGCCGCACTAAACATGCCCGGCTCTCCCGGCTTTAAGAAATGCGCCTTGTGCGGTGACGCCATGCCGGTCTCCGATGGCCACTCCCGCTGCATTCGCTGTCTGGGAGAGGGCCACATCCCCCAGAAATGCGGTCACTGTTCCAAGTTGGCCGCGCGGGCGAGGCGAGACAGAGAAATGCGCCTGAAGATGCTACTCTTCAATAAGGTGCTTCAGCCCCCGTCAGTAGAAGAACGGGAAGCTTCAGTCCCGCATAAGTCCAGGGACAGAAAAAGCTCCGTTCCGTCCAGGAACCTAAGTGCAGGAGAGACACAAGGCTCATCGGGCTACCCTCCCACACGGAGTGGACAAGTTACCAAAGCCCATAGTACGTCGGCGCCGAGCCCCGTGCTTTCAGTGCTCTCGGTCCCGCCAGGTCGTCCGGAATCGGCACCATCATCTGCAGCACCGAGTCTCCGAGCGGCACCGCAGCCAGATACAGTGCGGTCCTCGGCACTGAGACACTCGGCACCGTTGCCTCATGAAGACTCTCAGACCAACCCGGCACCGAGAGTCGACCCGGCACCGAAGCCTAAGCAGGCACCGAAGCCTAAGCCGCAATCAGCGCAGACACTGGAGACGGCACCGAGAAAGCACTCGGCACCCAGGTCAACCCACCCCCATTCAAGACCTGGGGATGCGGCTACGCCGCACATACAGGGCACGCCTGCACCTACCACCCATTGTGTGCGGCTGGACCGGCACCGTCCATCGTTTCGGCGCCGGCCCCTATGGGCCCACAACCCCACAGCTTGGGAAACGATATGGCACCACCATCCCCATCCTCCGCACCTCGGTCACCACACCTCCCGGAGGAAGTTTCTGACTTTGCCTCGGTCGTCTCCATTCCTGGTAGTCCAATCCCCAGGGCTCCCCCATCCATGGTGGTACTGACTAAGGCGCAAAGGAAGACTCACCATCCCCGTACGCCTTCTCTCAGTCCCGACAGGGCGGCGTTTTCCCCTGAGCCATCGCTCTCACCTTGCCAAAGATGGCGGGACCACCATTACGGTTATTCTCCTATGCACCGTTACTACAGATCTCCGAGGCAATCTATTACACCGCCGCGTTACCACCGTACATACTCGAGATCTCCATATCACCATTCACACCGCTCACGATCCCCGCGATCTCC